TCGATTAGAAATCACAAAATATCAACCAATATTAGGCACAGGGCTTTACTCTGGAAACCAGTACCTCGTACAGTTTCTATGCTACTATATTCTACTACGTATTTATACTCATTAATTTTTATAACAATTAAATTGATCCTAAATTAAGTACTTATTTTAAATATATTTAAGAGAAATGTTTTTAAATTTGATTTGTAGTTTAAGTTCCATGTTTTTCAAAATGTTCCTTCTTCCTTCCCATTAAATTAAGAATTTAACTTTCTAATATAATTTACATTAAAACTAGAGAGTGTTTATAACAAAGGAAATATAAAAGCAAATTGCCATATAAAATAATGCACATACAACAACACATAAGTATACTTATTCTCACCTTCTCTGGAGACTTTTAATTATAGTCAACACACTGATATATACTTTTATATTTTTAAAAATTCTTATTTATCCAACAAATATGCAGAATGTATAGAAAATAACTTTTAACAAAAAAGTATCTTAAAACTCGACAACTCATACAATATTCAGTGAAAGTCGCAAAAAGTTAGTACAATTCGCACAACGCCAAAACTTTCTTTAATAAAATCTGATATCAGACATGACTTAACACATCCAAAAAATAAGAAGAAAAAAAGTAATTTTCCAAAAAAATTTTAAGAATGAAATGTTATTTAATTGCAAGCTGCAGTAGAAAGTTTAGATTAAAAACAGAACAACAGAAATTGTCAATTTGCAGTGACAACTACAAATTGAAGTGTTCCAAACGAAGTTGATCCTTGCAAAGTTCTTAATAAGAACTAAGTTTTTAAATAGACTCAGAAATCGAAAATATTTGTTTAGAGTATTTTTAAAAATCACAAGTTTCTTAGAATAAAATTCAACAATTATTATCATTCTTATATTAACTATGTTTAACAAACTCAAATAAAAAGTGAATTAAGTATTAAAATAATTTAATAATAAAACCAATAAATAATGGCAGTCCAGTCATGCGATCATTTTTATTCTAAAAGCGTAAAAATTGTGATTCCATTAAATACAATTTTGGCACTTTACTGTTAATTATGCTACTTAAATATTAGTCTAGAATTATTTATGATAATATTTATTTTTGAAAATGCCAGCAAACAGTAAAATAATAAATCACATATTATGTGCATCATAATTGCCTATCAATTTTAACTATAGAATTGGATAATAGATATTTAACTAAATTTTGTTTAATTATTCACCAGCAATTAGCTTCAATGCACGACATGCATATATACGGAGTTACAATTTCATTTATGCTATGTGTGCATCTGTTAACTTAAAGCAGTATACGAGGGAGTCGTGATAAATTTAAAAAAAAAGTATTTAAAAAAAAATATTTTTGAATTTATTAATATTTTATTTTAATTCTTCTCTTATATTTTTCTTTTAAAACACTGTTACTTTTAAACAATATTCAATTTTTTTATGAAAACAAATCATTTGTAACACTTCATTAAGTTTTATCAAACATTTTTCAGTAGTTTGCATAATTTCATAATATTATATATGCCAAATAAATTTTTAACTTAATTAAAATATCTGTCTTATAGGCAATAATACCTTAATATCTATTATTTTTTCTATATTGAAAAACAAATTAAAAATTACACACAATTCCAATATTTCCGGCACTCCCACATGATGATACATTTTAATAAAGACTGCTACCTTAAATAACTATTGTATACGCTATATATTAAATACAGCGCAGTTTTGGAGATATAAAATTTAAGCATAAAAAACAACAATTATCCATCTGGCATGACTGTTACTTCATCGTTTGTGCAATCATTACCAAAATTATGTTGCTATTGCATTTGGTGGTAGATTACGAAAGTAGTTTTACTTAGTTTAATCAATATAAAAAGCTTACTACTTTTAACATAGATATCTCAAGATATAAACTATATAGACATTTAATGTAGTGAAAGATTTTATATCGATATGACTGTAAATCGAAATCACTTCCAAAATTAATATTAGACTGTAGTTTATCTATTTCATTTCTATAACTATATTTTCATACTAAATGCCAAATTGTGTTACAATTATTTGTCTACGGATGTTTATAACTACCATTAATAACTTTTTCTTAGACTCTGATAACTAACTAATATAGCATTTTGGGAATGCTTCTTATGTATTCCCTTCTTATAAATATCATAGTCATAAGCTTTTAAATATACACATACATATATATAATACATATAAACTTTTCATTCTGCTCTCGTACGAATTTGAATGCAATTCGTCTATACGTAAACATTGTATAGCAATGCTTCTTCCGTAAAGAGAATTTGTAAAGAGTAGTGTAATTTTGAAACGATATCTTAACTGAACTGTTTACCTATAAATGAGTTCAATCTTAACATAATTATTCATTTAATGGTACAGAATGCCAAAACACATGACACAATCCCTTATGACACAACTCCATACTATAATATCCCATTTGACACAATTCCATATAACTGAATCACACATGACAAAGTTGCATATGATGATGAATATCTCTGCATTCTACATGGAAATACCACTGTGCATATGCTATGGGCTTAATTAGTACTTTTTTTTAGAGTGAATTTGTCACATACGGAGGAGGATTTTGTGCGTAATCCAACACAGCCTGCGAAACTATGTCATACATTTAAAGTTATACACAAGAAAAATGATGTCTGTCTGTTTCATAAAAATTATCAAAATTATTTTATGCAAAATTACCCCATATTACTTATGATGAAAGATTTAAAACACAATTTCTTTACATATAATAAATACAACTTTTACTAAAATATATATACATATATACAATATCAGAAATCTAATATATATATCTACCCTTAATCTTTATATGTAGTATATAGTAATATCAAATGTTCGAATCGATTTTAATTGAATACGTATTCAAGAGGCATCTCTGTTAAGAGCATCAATGTTGATTTTGTGTCAATCACAACAACTATCAATATCGACATTTCAAACTACAACAACTACAAATGTACATAGTTACACAAACTGTAATTATTTTGGAACGAAATCCTACTTAAAGGATTTAATTATAGTTACACCGAAATTTTGAAATGGTTTTGCATCTAATTATATGCGATTAGTTGGCAATTTTCTATTCAATTGCTAATGCCTATACGAATGCTGTCACTGTCTGCCGCTTCTACTGCTTCGCCACACTTGTGCTCTGTTATTCGTTGCACCTGTTTTTGTTGTTGTTTTCTCGTTCATGTTGTTAATATTGTTCGTGGTTTGTTCGTGCATTGACGCTGTTGTGGTTATGTTCACTCCACCAACACACTCACATAATTATGTTAGTAAGGCAACAGTTTGGTGACAATTTTGTTTAACGCAATGTACATTTTAATTTTGTTCAGGTTTTCACATAATTTCCCTTTTTTTTGTTTATATTTTATGTAAATATTTGTTTGCAAACAGGAGTTGCCATATTGTTAAATGCTTTTAGTAATTAGACATGATTAAGTTTAAGCAGTTGTTGCTAATATTCGATTCATTTAAAAACCATTAATTTGCTTTGTAGCTTAATTCAATGTTTATCATTTTATTGACTTAATTTGAAGCTAATCAGTTCATAATACAAATTAATTTATTTATAATATTTTTCTGACTTAATGTGAAGTACGTTTTTTAGTTCTTATACTATATTTGTTATACTACATTTTTCGATTTTCATTTGTAGTAAGCATATTAAGCATATTTATGCAGCTTTCTGTATAAATTTTTTTTAGATACATTTCGATCCTTTTAATGAGTTACTTTATTTATATATATAATTTTATATACAAAATATAAAACTCCATTGTAGTTATAATATTTTGCATTCATTTCGAACTAGTGGTATATAGTCAATCAATTCAAATATAACACATTGACAGAGAAGTCAAAAAGATAACAATCCATATGAATTTCAGAAAGTATATTGATTTATCATTACTTTTTGACAGAAAAAAATACCGTAAAAGCAAAACCTTAGCTTGATAAGTGGTAACTGTATTCTGTACCACCAAGATAAGTAGTACATCGGCCTTACTAACAACGTTGATTTGACTCTAATAAAAAAGTCATCGTAAAAACTGAGACATATTTTAAAGCTAAAGATAAATCATTCATCAAGAGGAACATCGAAATGTCAGCGAAGCGGTTAAAGGAGACTCCGTTTATGAATTAGCCAAAAAGTTGTTGTTTTACTGGTTTTTCTACAGACTTATCAACCAATGTGTTAAAAAAAATATAGTCATTTCAAATACAACCAATCAAAGCTATACACTTTACTACACCATGCACTTTGGTAACTTCGTAGAGTTTTAGAAAATTTGCTGTGTGAATTTCCCACATCCCATTTGTTTATAACTATGATTATAATTACGATTATACTTGTGAGTATAATAGTTATAGTCTATTATAAGCTATAATATATACTTTTTATCTTAATTGTGATTAGAACTCAGAAAACCATATAATGTTACAAATATTACATATTTTTGAATTAATTAAACTTTTCATTTACAATTTTATCGAATATATACCTTACATAAATATTCATATTAATCGTAGAATATGACATAAATATTCATATAAGCATAAATATTTATTAGAAATATTTTATTGTAGTAGATAAATTATTGAGCAATACATAATAGTTAACTACTGTTAAACTACATTAACACCAATTTTGGTTATAAGATATTAAATATAAAAAATATTCGTTAAAATATATTTTAATTATACATATTTTATTTACATATATTTTATTTGAATATATTTTATTTATATATATTTTTTTCTATATATTTTCTTCTATATATATTTTTTTATATATATTTTATTTATATATATTTCATTTACATATATATTATTTCTATATATTTTATTAATATTTACTTATTTTTCCTAAAATACTTGTATATTAAATATTTTAAATTCGTTAATTAGGTTAGCTTTTTAATTTTATTTTTTTGTAGTTGGCATAGCTCCTGCAGCAGTAGGCATAGGACCAGCCATTTGTGGTCTTGTTGGCATAGAAGCTGCCATAGTTGTAGCTGTTGACCGCGTTGTTGTTGTCGTAGTTGTTGTAGTTGTAGTGGATGTTGTAGTAGTAGCCACAGGTGCTAAACTTTGATTTACATGGACCGTGCAATTACGACATATTACTGAAATATGCAAAAATATTTTGTTTATATAAATTCAAAATAAATTTGTAATTCAGTCCTATAACTTGTGTTTAAATTCATTAACTCATAAGTGCTCCCAAATAACTTACTATACGTTGGAAATATTATTCATATAACAATATATATAATAACTTACGAACACAGACGATATGATATCACTATCATATTTCAACTCTCGAATGATTTTTTGGATATAATTTCAAGAAAAATTTTGGATATATAAACTACTGCCTTTCATGAACCAATTATCTATATATTGTTCTGATCAAACTTTAATGAAACCAAGTTTTTGAGAATTGAAATTACTATTTCGAAATAATTGCTGCTTCTTTCATTACAGTAAAAAAGTCATTTATCTACTGTTAGAAGTGAATCATATTACTTCAACATAAGTATTAAAAAAAGGTTTAAAGATTCAATTATCTTACTAAAGTAGTATATACCAGTAAAGATTATAATATACAAAACATTCAAAATTGAATCATTTTAAAAATTCTACTCACAATATTTGTTTTGATCATCATCTTCATCCTCATCGTCATAATCATAAAAATAACTGAAGAGATCCCAAAGAAAACGTTTCTGTAAGATAAAAACGAAGTTAACAATGCTTCAACTTTACGATTATTCCGAAATGAGTAAATAAGTAATTTAAATCACTATTTAAATCATAATAATTACGTTTCTAGTATTTTCTGCCGTATCTGCTTGATGATCAGTGTCAAGTATTGCAGCTTTAAAGTTTGATAATTCTGATAACCCCAGTGGAAATGTTTCTACAGTTTTCGAATTAGTTAGAACGAATACTAAACCCAAAAGCAGCAATTCTGTAACAGCTTTCATTTCTTATGCTTAAAGGAAAGTTTGCAATTGACTTAGTCTAGAATAAAAACCCGACTTTATATCGTTTTATATAGCAAATATCGAAGTAGCTGTGGTGCTGTTTATCACCTATCGATTTATATTTCCTTATTGCTGCTATTGTTTTTAGCACATTTTTAGTTTTAATTTTAAAAACTGAAATTTGAATATTAAACACGTTTCTACATTAAAATTAATTCACATCACTACTATTGTGGCACATAAAAGTTTTACTATAATTTGAATTTATGAATATTAGTTTACTTATTTTTACTAGAAATTTTTAATCTTACTCTTACTATTATCATACACTAATCGTAAAGTGTTAGCTATACAATTATATATATGCATTTATATTCAGGGACTTATCATAATAATGTTGATTCTCAATGTCCATTAGTTTTATTTATGCAGCTGCAGGTTTTATACATGTTGTATCAAATAATGTACATAACAAAGGTTATATATATATCTAGACATTGCACTTGACCTACTTTATTTAACTTAATTCACCCAACGAAACATTACTGTCGATAATTAAATATTTGTTACTGCAAATTGAAAAATATATATTTAATTTGTGAAACAACTCCCAAAACTTAAAAACATTTGTTCTATCTTAGTTATTTAATGAGTTAAGGTTTCGACAATTATAGTCACTTCGATAGTTAAGTTTCTGAAGTATATATGCAATATGCTTTTGTATATACACCAGAGTACAGAATCTTTAAAATAAATCTAGGTGTAAAATACATAATTATATATATATAAGTATATATAAGTATATATTTATATATAAGTATTTGCATTCAAGGACTTATCATAATAATATTCACGTCAATGTCAGCTTAGAAAAAAAGGGTTAATTGCTAATTATATTTATTAAAAATCAATTATGATTACGAAACAAATTTTAAACAAAAACTATTTTACAATTAAATTTTTTCCCTGTTTTGATAACTACCAGATATTCATCAATAATAGTCTCTGGCATTATTTTTTGATTTTAAATATTTATACATAATACATAATCACAAATGGTCTAAACTAGAACCCCGTCAAATTTGAAACGCAGTTATGTTTTATACACCCAAGTCATCTTGTATTGTATAGTATTAGTGTTATTAGTATTGCTCTAACTGATAGTTTTGTCAGTTTATTATTACTGCTGCATTATATTTAAAATAAACTTGTAAACAAAAGCTGTACAAAACAGCTAACATATACCGTCTATCAAAAATAAACTTAAAAAAAATTTAAAAAAATTATATTGCTAAAAAATTTCATCACTATTTGCCTTCCTTAAAAAACTTAATAAATTACAAGTATGTTATAAAAATATTTTTTTTAACACTTGATTCTATCTATAAAAATAATAAGAAAATTAATTATTGAAAACAAAAAATTCTGTCAAATAACAATATAAAATTTATTGAAGCTTTAAATAAACAAAGCATTTTAATTGACAGTATAAAATATTACACTAATTAGGTAATTGAAACTTAATTGAGTTAATTTATAACATTAACTAATTTAAAATACATTAACGTGATTTAAAATATATTGTAATTATATACATTAAATTTTTAATTAGCAAATAAAATAACTATAAAAACATTTTGTACTTTATAAAATAAAATAAAACAAGTGAAGTTTTACTTTACTTGTTAAATTGTTTATTATATTTTATTATAGTTAATTTATTCTATTATTTTATTAAACAAAAATGCTTAGCATATAGCATAGCATATCGAACCATAACATATCGCATAAACTTCAATGTTTTACATAGATAATAACTAATACATAAAGTAATAAGATTCTTTTTTGAACCACATATTGTCTTTTTGAAATATATTACTTTAATATTTCGATGCATTTTACTTTAAAACATACACATATCTTAAATAAATCCTGCTTTAAGCTGTTTATAATTGTAGTATTTAATTTTAAAATTCTATTAAAATTAAATTTTAAAAAATTTCTTATTTAGGTTGCTGACATGGAAATCCCCTTCATAAAAAAAATTACTCCACATAAATAGAAAAATATGTCAACAAAAATGTGCAGTCTAGACTCGCGCATTTATTCAAGAAATTTTTTTATATCATTTATATCAGCATTTCAAAAATGGCGTTGAAGGCGCCACAATTATTAAGGGGCTAAGTGGCCTAATGGCGGGATAAGTGGCTTATGGTAAATTTATCACGATTTTTCCTATTAATAGCTCAATTTTGCAGTTTGCAAAAAAATTATTCTATGTACAACGCTTCAGAAAATTTTAAAACGACAATGTTAGTATAAAACGCGGTTTATTTAATAGTCAACATTTAAGAAAAAATACGTTTAGGGTGACTTTGATGAGATAAAAATGCACACTCTATTTACATTTTTAATAATATATTTAATATATATTTCATAAATTTTTGTATATATAGAACTATATTTATAAACCATAATTAATAAAATCTTTTGATTCAATGAACGAAAGCAATTGTATAGTTGAAGGTGAGATATTAGTTTATTTTCAATACAATAGCTTATAAGATGTCAAAAGGAACTTAACTTCAACAAAGATCAGTCATGAAACCGTCAATACATCACTTATGACTAACTCAAAAGATTTATGACAAAGACTTATATTGTTGTATATTATTATTTCATGATATAATTAGTCAAAAAATTGATTTATCAAGTTTTTTCATCATAACTGACTTAGATTAGTAACTTTTTTTATATATTCAAAAGTAAACAAAAAGTAGAAAGTAACTACATTGTATATACAGATAAATTTCATTATTAATTATTGGTTATCTGATTGAAAAAATTATTTTCTGATTCTATACAAACGTTTGACCAAAATTGAACCACGGTGCGTATGAGTAATTAAAATGAATTATTCTTCTGCGATTGAAAAAAGCATTAAGTTTATTTTTATATTATGTTTGCCTAAAACACAGTAAGCTACAAAAATAACTAATTTAGTTATTCCGAATAAGTTCTTAATTTAATTAATAGACTTTTCGAAAAGTAAACAGGCTTCAACGCAATCAGTCCCCTTACACTCTCATGTCAGTATAGAAAACATTGTAAAAACCTTTTGATTTAACAAAGTGAGTGTACTGTTAGTGTAACATTTGGAATCAACGCCTTACAAAACTTCAGAATTAAATATTAGAAATACAAATATCCCAATCCATTTCAAAATGGCAGGCACTCAATACAAGGATAACAGCATGTTTCCAAATTTGTAGTGTTTTCGTTTCACGGCATGTTTGAATGTTTGTTTGACAAGTTTTGAAAACTTTTCAAATTTGTTGTTGTAGTTTTCTGAGTTGTTATATTTCATACATATTAAAGAGTGAATTGTTTTATATGTAAATTAACACTGATTGTAGGCCAATAATTTGTAACAGTTTGCATTAATTTGAAATTATGATGAGAAAGCTTATTCATGCAAAAAATAAAACAAGCAATATTTGAAATAAGCTCAGCAAAGCTGGTATTCACAATCACAATTTCAAATATGTTTGAAAATAATTTTTAACAATTACGTACTTGCAGACTGTCAACTTCAATTTAACGCAAATCCAAACTTACAGCATAAACGTAATTAAATTAAAAATGTTGTAAAAGTGTTAGCAACTATGTCTACAGTACGAAGCAGCGGCAGTAGTAGCGTTAGTGATGGTAGCAGAGACCTTGTCGCAAGGATCTACGCTTACTCATAGTTTCAGAGCAACTGTTGCCAATTTGTTAAAAAAAAAACCAATTAAATTAAAATTAAATAAATTACTTTGTTACGAAAACTTTTGTCGTACCTTGTGCAATATTATTTTGTTATTATTTTCTTCTTGGTTTTTTGTGTATGCACCTTTGTGAAAACGTGCCGGAGCATGTGTTGGTCTCCAGTGTTGGTTACACTCTGCTTTCACTATTCCATAACACAAATGATTGCCATAGAACATGTCCTGTGTACACAGTACCATCTAAGGATTTCGTACTGAGATTTGTTGTTTGCGCTTTAGATATTGCTACTGGTCTTAGCTTCCTTGTGCTTCTTTGCTTCTCAATAAAAATTTTATTTGCTTCCTTGCAAAAATTTTCCAACTAAGACTACCAAGCGATTTGTTTTTATAATCCAAGTATATTAAGTGAATTAAAAGTGCAATATCGCCATTATATCGATGGTGTCTGCATTTTTAATTAAGAGAAAATGTTAATTTATTAAATTGCAGCAAATAGAAATAGAAGATTTGAACTTTGAGAATAACCTATATAGACAAATACTACTAAGACTTTAAAAATATATAGCTTTAACATAATTGCTTGTACAATTTTATAATACAATAAACGGGTTTAGATTCTTCTCAACTATACTTTTAGTAGTTATTTTAGTTATACTAACAAATCTTCCATTTATTTAAAAATGAAAATTCTCTAATCAAAAATTTAAACAAAAATGAAGTATATTAAATGATATTAAATAAAACACAATAATAAATTGAACAAAATTAAATTGAGAACAAAACCCATAAAAGTTAATTCAATAAAACTTTTTTAACAGATTTTAGCCTCACTAGAGTAGAATAACATGACCTTCGATAAATAAACAATCTGATTTAATCTTTAGTCACTGATAAGCAGTAGGTGCACAATACCAAAATCCAATCTCAATAACTCTAATCTCAATTAAAATATATGTCTCAAGATTAGTTATAAATCATTTTATTAGTGATTTAACAAATTTCGACAGCTGGCAATTATTGCACAAGGATATAACAATTAATTTACAGACATTGAACTGAAAAAATAGCATTAGGAAATATTATTTCCAAATTATTATAAATTAAAAGAGTTAACACAAATATATAAACTATAAACAATATTTATTTTTGCCTTACATTAAAAAGGTGTTACATTATGCAATTTTACTTTGTTAGCTATAATATTAAAATTAACTTAATTTGATATACATGCAAACAATAATTTTTTTTAATTAATTAATTTTATTAAATATATTTTAGTAATAATAAATTAGTTTCTATTATGCGGCTATTGTTTTTCCAATTACAAAATAC